TGCTTATCTGACATTAGCATGCCACGGGCAGATAGGTGGTTGACTCCTTTTGAAAAGAGTTCTGTTAAATTAGGTTTTCTCATCCAGAGTGGCATATCGTGATGTTTAATACATGTCCACATTTTATGTTTTGAGAATGATTGTCAGAATGAATTTTAATGGAATATAGTCACTAACATATTTGTACTTCAACTAAAGATTTGTTTTAGTCTACATGTATAATGTATATAACCAAGATATAATTTTTTCTCAATCAATATAGTTGCTGTATAAGAACTCTTGTTTTACTCAGAGTGGTTTGTTGTATATATATATGTGTATTTTTATCCATAATATCGTTTTCCTAAGAGTAAATTGAAATTGCATTGTTGAATCTTTGCATAAACTAATCAAACTCATTGGTTCAGATTCTCAGTTAGATTTTCTAATAAATGACTCTTTGGGCCACATATTGCTTCTGTATTTTCTTTGTTGTATGTACATAGATGGTTGTAATGACTAATTCAGATCTCTGCTCCAACTAAAATTAAATGTTGCTATGCTCAACACAATCGACTAAGGTCAAAATGAAAATTATAACCACTGAAAAAAATTTAATTTTATGAAGTGGTATTTCAACAACAGCTTTTATTGAATGTGTTATATTTGCCAACTACCATGGGATCTGGGACACTGAACTTTATCTGCTTTATTTCTTTTCTTCCACAGCAATTCAAAATATTTATCCTTCTGTCCATCCATTCACTGTCTCAGTTCAGTGATTCATTGGAACCCATATGTAGAGGTTTTTTTTAAAGCTTACACGATCAGATCAGTTTTCACAGAAAGGAAAATGATGCTTACTTGATAAGAGTTTCGGAAATCAGCCTGTTCATACTGAGGAAGCCTCACAAACATTCAAAACATTCCTTCTTTGGGTAGTAGTATAATATCACTTCCAAGTTGATCAGGAGGATACAAATACAATGGATCTCCTTAAATCTGTTGTCTTGGGGACAAGACTAGCAAACGACTTCGCTGTTCTATTAGGCTTTTGTTGTGTGTGGTTTTACAGTATTACCCATGGTAATGTCTTATTCTACAAGGAGCTATGTAGTAATAGAATTCTACTGGGGATGGCCTAGATATTTCTTCCTACGGGGTTTTTCCTTAGAATCACATAATTACTCTACAAGGAGCTATGTAATAAAAGAATTCTACTGGGGATGGCCTAGATATTTCTTCCTACGGGGTTTTTCCTTAGAATCACATAGAAAGATTTTATTGTCTATATACTTTTATCAAATAAAAAATTAATATAAGGATCACTATTTTAATTCCATGGCAAACTTCATTGGTTCATATTTTTTGGTATTAAAATGTGAAATTCCTTCAACATAACCCAAGTTAATGAGGAGTGGTGGTGTCAAGGTATAAACCACAGACTTTTTTTTTTTTTTTTTTAAATTTTTATTTTGTCAATATACAATGTAGTTGATTATTATGTNAGAAATTTATTTTCAGTAATATGTTGTCATTGTAAGGATGCTTCTAAATGTGAAATCTATTATATACAGTATTGCTGTAACTCATTTTGTGTTTCTTCCCTTTCTGTTCTCTCATTCCTTTTTTTAAAAAAAACATGTGTTCTTCTTCCTCTGAGATTTTTTTTTTTTTGCTTCAGGTAAGTCAATTTCTCCAATTTCTCCCATGTTTCTCGTTCCTTTGTCTTTGATAGGTCCCATATTGCCACAGGACTTGTCTGCTTATCTGACATTAGCATGCCACGGGCAGATAGGTGGTTGACTCCTTTTGAAAAGAGTTTTGTTAAATTAGGTTTTCTCATCCAGAGTGGCATTTCGTGATGTTTAATACATGTCCACATTTTACGTTTTGAGAATGATTGTCAGAATGAATTTTAATGGAATATAGTCACTAACATATTTGTACT